AGGACAGGGCAGGGCAGGACAGGGCAGGACGGGACAAGATAGGACAGGACGGGACAGGACAGGACAGGACAGGACAGGACAGGACAGGACAGGACAGGACAGGACAGGACAGGACAGGACAGGGCAAGGCAGGACAGGACAGGACAGGGCAGTACATAACAAGACAGGACAGGGTAGAACAGGACGAGACGGGGCAGGACAGGACAGGACAGGTCGAGACAGGACAGGACGAGACAGGACAGGACAGGACAGGACAGGACAGGACAGGACGAGACAGGACAGGACAGGACAGGACAGGACAGGACAGGACAGGACAGGACAGGACAGGACGGGACAGGACAGGACAGGACAGGAGAGGGGAAAGCAGAGTAGGGAGGGCGCGACGCAATAGGACGGGGCAGGGAAGAACAGCGAAAGCAATGTAGGAAATAGCGGGGTCCAGCCGGGCAGGACAGAGGTAACACGTGTGACCTCGGTGTAAGGTGGGGAGCCATGGGTGTGCATGCCATGCATGGGATTGGTCGGAATACCAGTCGGGTCCGTCGGCCAGTCTGTCGGTCTTTCGGTCTAGTCGGCCTGTAAATCTTGTCGGTGTGTGGATATATTTGGTCTGACGGTCTGGCGGTCTGATCGGTCTGGCCAGTCGGATCGGTCGGGTCGATCCGACTGGGGGCCGGTCCGGCCGGTCTGGTCGATTTGGCGGTCTGGTCAGTCCGGTCGGTCTGGTCAGTCCGGTCGGTCTGGTCGGTCTGGTCAGCATGGTCGATCTGGTCAGTCTGTCGGTCTGGTTACGCCAGACCAAAACTGGCCGAAAATGGTGGCCGTCAGTTTCCTGGTCAGAGGCAGAGAACCTGCGCAGGCAAATGCCGTCCACTTAATCTTGATATTGTCCTAGATCTACGGAGGTACCGATCCCAGCTACTTATACGCGTTGCCACGAAACTGGAAAAAGACTTCAGTAGGGAAACCCATTTTAAAAATTGTTCTATGGACATGCAAAATATAAAACTTCATTGCGTCTAAATTGGGAACGCGACTCCTTTTATATCCCCCACATATTAAGGCAACTCATGTAAAAGGGCACGAGGTCACATCGTTGAATACTACCAAATGGAAAATCGTGAATAGTGAAAAGTCTTCCCGCATCACAGGCGCAGCCAAGGGAGGAGGGGGCGGAGAGAGCCCCTGTGGATAGGGAGCAGGAGGACTCCTTGGAGCCACCTTTATCATTTTTCACCCTGGTGAGTATCCAACAGAAAGTTTTAAAAAACCGCATGACGCGCTCTCACCCCGTTTTGAAAAATCCCGGCTGCACATCTGCCCGCACCTTGGTGAATTCACAGACATGTGTTTAATCGGATCTGATCATGTGGCCACCAGTCACAGACCGCCAAAGAAGGGCCGCAGCCGGGGGTGACGCCACGAGGGGACGTGGGAACGCGTCCTTCTTTTGTCGGATAGGAGGAGAGTCCCCTGATCCCAACAATCGTCTGACAGGAACAAATATATTCTTGACGCAGGTTTTCACTGGGGGCCCCATATGATCAGCTTTTTACCACAATAAAGGTAACTTGCATCGGTAGGATTTCATTGCTACAAAGCTATTACGATGCTTCTGCGTCTCAAAGACCGCACGACGATATTCCCCCTATACTGGTCGAGCTCATTCATTGCCCCTGCCGTGCCTGGATTTCAAAGCCGGATTAGGAGGTAACTGGATTGGTAAGTGCCTGCAGCGCATGTTTATAAGTCCTTTTAATAAGGGAAAATGAAAACTAATGCTAAATTGTAACGAACGTGCTACAATGAAATATCCTTCTTTCCCCAGGCACAACTGCTATTTGGGTATGTTTTCCGTCAATGTGCATCACGTGTTTCCATGTCACCACTTTCACAGTCATGCTTTTCCAGAACCTTTAGGATGCAAACGGATGAGCCCTGTAATTGTGTGCATCTTTTCTGTTCATTGCCCAGCTTGAATTATTCCGTAGACAAGTACCTCTAATCACAGTGTCTGCATATATTACCTACTTTACCCCCTGCCGTGCTCCAGGAATTACAGCTTTCGGCAACTTGATCGCTTTAGCTGTGGAGAGTACAGTTTTGTCCTGTCATAACATCTCTGAACTATGGTCTTTTCAGCAGCTTCAGTGCGATTAAGTTTCGATTTGAGACGAAGGCATGGTTTTAACCGAGCCCGGCCGAGGGACGTCCCCGCGGTGCCCGTCCTTCCCGTCAGGGTGAGGGGCAGGCGACGTCACATAACCTCAGCAGCTGAGTGCGTAGTAAAACCCTAATGATTACGGTAGCGGGGGACAGAAGCCCTTCCTCTTAATATTTGCGGGTTAAGAAAAAAAAGGAAAAGAAAGAAGCTAGCAAAAAGCCATAAAAAGCGAAATGAGGCAACGCGGGCTGCGAAGTACCATTCCTAGAGCCATGCATTTTATATCCCGGCAATTCAAAGTTTAAGACAAGTCACTGCGCTGGCGGGAATAAGTCTTGGATCAAAATCTAGAGGTTTGAACCCTCATGACTTTGTCAGGTGTGGACAGATTTGATGATTATTGCAAAAGTGTTTCGCTGTGTGCTTCATGTGCTTATACTGACTGTAAGCCTTATTTGCCCTATAACCTGTAGCGGAATTGTTTTCAGGGAGCACTCCGGCAGTGACTAGCTAGACTGCCAGGAACCAATTCCAAAGTGTTGCCTCTGAGTGAACGGGGCTCGTGTCTCTCGCATCAATATCAATCCGATATCGTCGTAATTGGCGGTATATCCTTCGATGTGTTTTATTTATTGACGTCTGGCACCTGTGAGGAAGATTTTACTCACGGCCTGTAGAAACAGTACTAAAGATTTCGCGGACATTGCGTTTCATTTTCACGGCGCGTTGGATTTTTTTTTAACCGGTTACAAATGACTCCCACAAGTCCAGCACGGGTCTTCTACCCGCACTACACATACAAATGCACCCATAAAGTACTTCGCTCCAGGTCCGTCGTGTTACATTATGTCACTTAAGCTACCAGAAAAGGCCCGAGTTAATAAATTTCTTCGCTCTGTTCGCCTCGTAGCATTGCTACTCCAGGTCGCACAGAAGCTGGGTGTGCTGACCCTACGGAGACGCCTTGGAACAGCGCTACCAGATGAGCCCAGAGGAGCAAGGCGAACCGCGCCATTTCATTTGCCCAGGGGGCAAACATAGCCCTGTGATGACTATGCTCACATCGCTTCCCCTGTCAGATCTCCGCAATGTGAAGCAAAACGCGCGGGAACCCATCCCTTAAGTCGTCAAAGCTGGTCGCCTTCTCATGACCATGCCCACCTGTTCAGTCGCAGCTGAATGCAGTCTCCGTGAGCGAAAGGGGCTGAAAACCTGCTCTGCGTAATGGTGCCGCAGAAAAGGATGGACCCAGCAGCAGTGTGTTACGTGCCCGCCGTCGCCTGGATCGAATTGATCCAGTTCATACGGCGGTCAATTTTGCCAGTATAAACGCATAAAATCAAAGCACGTTTAGCGGCAGTTAGGACTGCACCATGAGCGGCGGTGGTGCAGACCTGGAAGGGGTGTGTTAACGCTGTGATCCTCAAGCCGAGTATCGTTGGGCTATTTTAATGACACCTCAATCAATGGCCAGATTTACTCTGTTATTATTCTATACAAGCAAACAAGAAGCTTTTAGAGTCGGGAGTGTGCCCAACTCAGATTGTAACTGCAGAATAAAAATACATGAAATGTCACGTTGCGTAACTGTGGCCGCTGTAAATACACGTATACATACTCTTATACGTGATGTGACCATCTGGTCTAGACGGTAATATACACTGTACTGAGAAGTTGCAACACTGCGATAATATATAACACACTGCGAATATTATATTGCGACGCAGCGAATATAATATTTTCCTCCGGCATGGAACAACGGAGTTCGCCCATTTTGAGAAGGCAAGGAAATTATATCCAGCTGAGTTATTTCTGTTAAATCAGCGCCCAAATTGCATAGCGATAATGAATACAATTGCTAAACGCATGATTGCTCGTCCATTGCTTTTATTCATTTGCTGGGATGGTTTTACGACATCGTCCACTCCATAAGAAAATGGTAGCTCCACCTTGCCTGAAGCACGGGAGGACGCGATGGTCCCAAGGGCGACGATCCTCAGCATGGCGAAATTTGGACAAACTTTTACCAATGAAGCAGGGAGTCATAGTTTTGCAAAATGAGCTGGGGCGGGGGGGGGGGGGGTGGAGCTGCACGGTTAAATAGGACAAAAACCTATGTGAACATGCGTCCAAAATGGGCTTACCGCTGGATTTCGCTTATTTTCATCTGCAACCCGGGCGTTGGAACCCAAGGACGGGGAATGGGGAGAGCTGGAGCCCGCACCCAGCAAAAAGGGAAGCTACACCCCAGCAATGAACGTCATCTAAGAACATTCCCCCAGACACGGGGAATCGAAATCCGACGAATTTGTGAGAAATAGATCAACTCTTTGGAATCAACCGCACCGGCATTAGCTTCCCCTCAGGACAGTGCACCGGATCATTCCTTGACACAGTGTGACCTGTTGCAAATTCCCGACGCTTTGTTTCAGTGACCGTTGTTCAGAGATGTTTCAGATCCACAAAGGCCTCTTTACGAACTAAGACTATCCCACGACAGCGACCCCAGAGCGTTATTCGACAGCGATGATGTCATCTGGCTCTGACGACGTTACATAGAAATAACAAATGACGCATCCCTTTCGTGGTATACTGATTCTTTTTCCACTTATACATTTGTTTCTATCAAACTCAGAATACACTATGTCAAAAAAATGTTTTTTTATTTAGAAAATGACTGTATAAAATGATCATACTTCAGTAAGGACTATTCATAATACCACACAGAATAGTTTTTTATATTTTGGCCACTAGGATTAGCAGCAAGTATTGTAGATGTGCGTCCCAATTTGTTCCACTATTCTAAGCCCAGGTATGTAATGTCGCAAGCACGCCGCAATTATTGCCAGTATGTTTGCTAGGCAGTGTGGCTTTCGCAGCTGTCCGATCGATCCGCTGTTTTAGATCATCTCCGCTCTCCGCAGGGTTTGTGTATCTTGGGGATTGAAGACTTGTGGGAAGTATTGAAAAGCCCTACTGAGTAGTATCCAGCGATTTGTGTTAAGTGAAGTCGAAGGACACAGGCGCCAATCGTTTGCCCAAGTTTCGTAAGCATGCCGAAGAACAAAGGTAGGGTGCACGTCGTCCTCGCTGAATGTGAAATGTATTGGCTTTGTTTAAAATGCTGAGGGTTTTAACAATGTCATGCTTAAGATGTTTGCTTAGAAATTTGCACGCAGCGTGCGTAACCCTGGACATTACTGCATAGTCATATTATTTTCACTCAATACTGCCAGCCGATTCGTTATCAAAATATTTTTTGAGCTGGCAGAACAATCATGCATGGTAGAATGAGTGCTTTAGTATATTCACTTGTTTCTGTTGTTATCTGTTAATATTTTCATAGATAGAGGTCAAACATGCATGCAAACATGCAAACATGCTGACTGGTATCCTGATCAAGGTGGTGTTGGCCACAGTTTTGGAAAGCTGAGTCTTGGTCTCTTTCCAGTCTGTTTTATTGGTAGTGAGACACCTGGTCTAAGCAGCTTATTTTATGACTGAGTGACAGAGAGCCGCAAGTGGCAGAAGTGGACATGTGTTGCCTGCCTTAAATTATCGTAGGCTTAAATTAATACAGGGCAGCTATACCAAGCCATGGTTAAAACCAGTTTAAACCAGTATTGGCTGAAATATGCCAGGCCTGCAGAATGTGTCAAAATGTGTTGGTTGGTAGTGTATTTGTGTTGAAGCTTTGTGTGCTGTATGTGTAAGTGTGCCTTGGTTGTAATGTATTGCATACTTAATGCATTGAGTGTGCCACATCATAACAATGAACCATACCTACCATTTGTTCTTCAAAAAGTTGTTATTATCAAAATGCCTCAACTGATGGTGACTGCCCTGGCATCCAAACTCCCATCTGTATGTCAATCCCTAATACACTTTGTTTCAGTGCCTATGATGCATGTTTGGGTATTGATATATGGTCTTATGCTCACATGTTGTAGTCTGTATATGTCTGAATGAAATAGGAATGTTTCTTTCCTTCTGTGCTGAGTGTCTCTGTTTCCATGTGGAATCCATTTATTTTTCAGGAAAGGGAGGCAAAAACAGGAGGAGGGGAAAGAATGAAAATGAAGCTGACAAAAGAGAGCTTATCTTCAAGGAAGATGGACAAGGTGGGTTCTTCAGATGTTGCCAGTCCTTTGGCACATGACCTAACTTATCTGACAGGCTGGGTTATGTCACTTTTTTGCATCTTCCTGTTTCTTCTCATGGCTGGATATGTTACATATTAGTATAAATTGAGCTGAATATTTATTTTCACCATCCTGTTACTGTGAATAGCTGGTTAATGCGCTCTGCTTCAACTCAAAGCATGTGATGATTTTCCTGGTCCTGTCTGGTCCAGTGATGCAAACATGTCACCAAAAATTACATGCATATAATTTTAAGGTGTGGATTATCCAAGGATGGTTTTCAGAATGCCTCTGCGAGTAATCAGTGCACCATGCAGACTGTTGTGTAATCTGCATGATGTTGTTGTCACTGTGTCTTGCTCTCCTTGGCCAAAAGTATGAAAATAACTTCAGTTAAGGGAAATGTTTCACATCTGAAGATGCTGAGGAAAGCATCAGACATGATAGAACAAGCTCACTTGGTAACTTTTGATATACTTTTTAAGTGGAAAGAATTGCTCTAGACAGCATAATTCTCTGTTCAGTTAATTTGCTTCTCAGTGCATCATGGTATGATTTGGTCATCATGTCTTGTGCAGGAGATTGAGAGTCACTTGCACATTTTTGGGAGCCAATCAATGGCCGTTATATCTAGAAATTGGCCCACGAATGTCAGATACGAGCAACTTGCCATTTATTTCTTCTTGGCCTTGATTGCCACATGGCTTGTGGAATGGCAGGATTGGAATGGCATTGTTTTCATGTCCTGAATGAATGCCGAGATGACTTGGAATTACTCTCCCCAGTATACCTTTCCTCATTTTCACAGGTGTGTAGCTCAGAAACTAATGGGGCATAGGCCTTAAGAAGGGCAGGATTGTGAACAGCACCTGAAAGGTCTTCAAGATGAGTGTTTTGGTTTTAAAACCCCATTTAAATGGTGTTTTAATGTGACAGAACTTTCTTTTCAGTGCTCATTTTAGTTTTGATATAGACATTGTAATTAATAGGTCTAAATCATGATTTACATTTTGTTCTCACTAGCCATTTTAGCGATTGTGCTGCACCAACTACAAGGTGTTGTGTTGTGAGCTGCTGGCTAACCAAATGTTCAGCTCAAACTGGCGTCCTGAGGCACGTTGTCCATAAGTTGGATGCTGTTTATCGATTGGTGTTGGATCAGTGATACTCCAGGTTATCCGTCCACAGGGGTCCACTGCTTTCCAGGGTAAGGTTTTGACCTCGCCATGCCATTCGGGATCATCTGAACTCTACACACCGCTCTCCCTACCCTCAACGCCTCTGTAGGTGCCCAACGCTGGTGGGTGTGCTGACGGAGCCTGTGGTCCTTTCCGCAGAGTATGCCCAGGTAGCCAAAATGCTGGGCAACGGCCGTCTGGAGGCCATGTGCTTCGACGGCGTAAAGCGACTGTGCCACATCCGCGGCAAGCTGCGGAAGAAGGTGTGGATCAACCAGGGCGACATCGTGCTGGTGGGGCTGCGCGAATTCCAGGACCAGAAGGCCGACGTCATCCTCAAGTACAACGATGACGAGGCGCGCAATCTGAAGACGTATGGCGAGATCCCCGACTCGGTGCAGATCACCGAGGCCGGCACCTTCGTCGGCGACGGCATGGATGACGACATCCAGTTCAACGACGTCGGTGGCGACGACTCCGACTCGGACGACGACATCGACAACGTGAGTTCGCCGCCGCCGTCCGCGGCATCAGGGGGACGAGCCACGGAGGGGCTCGCTTGAGTTAGTTAACATGGGCACAAGCATGACGTTCTTCGGGACTGTGGGTGTTCAAATGTCTTTAAAAAATCGCTGGCTTGGCGGTGGCTTGCAAGCCTAAAACCTTAGTCAAACCTACCCCTTCCCTCGCGGCTGCTTCGTACACAATTAGTGTATCTCGGGTTTACTCCGTCGAGATATATCCCTCATCAGTTCAATGGATGAATAGAAGCTAGATTTGGTTCGTTCGTGGTACGACCCCTGAAGCAGATGGGCCTTCAAACACCCACGCCAGTTATGCCGGTCTCGGTTTGTGTCCTATGTTCGGGATGCTGCTCGCTATACCATCATGAGGTCGTCTGGGCATTGCTGCACTTTTTTTCTCACGGGAACACTGCAGCTAAGGAAGGATCCGCGGCTGTCGTATGAGACGTAGCGTCACACTTAGGTTAAGTGGTGTTGGACTGACCGTCGACGGAACGAGGAACCCGAAACCGAGGAACCCGTCTGGGTTTATTTCATACTGCCCCACAGCTGCTAGTTTATTGGTGCAGCCATCAGCCCGCAACGTGGATGCTTTTGACTACCGAGTGCTGGGTAGAATGTCGGTCGTGACTTGCAAGGGTCACAAAATAAGCCAAGCTTGGCTAATGGTCATCACATTGCCATAACATGGGTAGTGTCTCTTTGTCTTTGTGGAACGAAGAGCACGGGGAAAAGCGGAAGATCCGGACGCCTTCGGGTAAAACAACATGTGATACCGTGTCAGGCGGCGCCCGCTCGTGTCGTCCCGTTAAGACACCATATATCCATAAACGACTCACAAGCCATTGGGTTTTACATACCATGCATATGTGATAGATCCGATCAAGGTGCCGAATGCGTTCGAATTGAGGTCAGGTACTGCTATAAAGGAACATGGTAGGAGCAGCGTGGCAAGTCATGTCATATTTACTACAACTATGCCCAAAAATCATTGATTAAAAATTTGGGGCTAGTTTTTGGCACAATAAGCTGTGAGGTACCTATGTCATATGTCAGCCAATTCCTTAATTGTATTCCTTTGTTATTCCGTATTCGCAGAAGCCGTCAGCAAAGAGCAGTGCTTATGCCGGACATACGTTTCAGGGCACGCACAAAAGTTACCGTTGAGGGGCATGTGTTATATCGATTGATAAATTTATTTCGATTCATTTGTCTAGGCAAGGTGCCCCATTTGCCTGACACGCTGTCAAACGCTCCTGTCACGCTTTGGTAGGACAGGAAGAGTATGGCAATTGGTGTAGTTGGAACTGTGCACCCCACAGTCTAGTCTCGTATCCCATTCCATCATGGTATTTTATGTTTGTTATGGTTTTCTCTGTCCGTTGCCTGTCTGTCTGTCTGTCCGTCTGTTTTCTCTGTCCATTGCGATGCCTGGTTATTCATACCTTAATACAATAACTGCGTGAAGTGTGGGCTGCACGTTCTTAGGAAGTGTCAAACCTGTTTGGTGTTGCAGTAAGTGACACATCGGCGCGGTTTGTACACACCGCACGTATTAATATGTGGTCGTCTTTCTTGCAGATCTAGCGCACGTTTTCTGCCAGCTTCTCTTCTTGTGCTACATCATTATCAAGTTCTGCGGGCTGCCAGGCAAAGCAAGAATGCTGCGTCGGCGTGACTCTGTGGATGATATGCACCGCTTTACCGGCGGAGTCGAAGGACAAAGCTTGACAGTCGATTGAAGCTGGTGCCCAAGCGTTTCAAACGATGCAGTTGCGTACCACACGGGTGGCGGCGAAAAGGGAAACATAGCTTATAAAAATGCCGCTAGATGTTAGCAACTGGCAGCGTTGGATTGTTGCTTCCCGTATTGGTGATGGGTCGTCACCATGTGTTGTTGCGCGTGAGAACCAACTGTGACGTATGGCGTTCGGCTGAATTTAGTGAACTGCTTTGGCCTATCCTAAAATGTTCTAACAGAGCTGCCGTCGTGTATTCGGGCTTGAATCTTCGGAACGCCTTTTAATAAAAAAGATGGTGCGGTCACCAGTGTTTGTTACTGATTTTATCATCGGGCTCCTATTGCATATCTTAATCATTCCGAGGCCTGTGCTGAAACAACTACGATTTCGGCCCAAGATCTTGGTTGCCATCGTCCGAACGTATCCGAGATTTAAACTAAAGGGCCTGAACGACGTGAATGGAGGTGCTGCCGGTTACCACACTGCAAATAATGTGCCGCAATCTCTAATTATGAACGTCCCGGACAAATGTGTGGCACAGGAGACAGCATTTAAAAAAAATCTGCTGTCATCGGTTTGTTTCACTAGCTTGCTATGAGAGCGGGACTGCAAATTTGATCAGTGGGACGCTCGTTCTCCATCTGAGAGCCTGCACCCTATCACTAGATCGTCGGGAGAGCCAGGCAGCAAGCTTGATCAGTGGGACGTTCTCCATCTGAAAGCCTGCACCCTTGCTATGAGAGCACCCTTGTCACTAGCTTGCTATAAGAGCGAGGCTGCAAGCTTGATCAGTGGGACGTTCTCCACCTGAAAGCCTGCACCCTGTCACTAGATTGTCATGAGAGCGAGGCTGCAAGCTTGATCAGTGGGACGTTCTCCATCTGAAAGCCTGCACCCTGTCACTAGATTGTCATGAGAGCGAGGCTGCAAGCTTGATCAGTGGGACGTTCTCCACCTGAAAGCCTGCACCCTGTCACTAGATTGTCATGAGAGCGAGGCTGCAAGCTTGATCAGTGGGACGTTCTCCACCTGAAAGCCTGCACCCTGTCACTAGATTGTCATGAGAGCGAGGCTGCAAGCTTGATCAGTGGGACGTTCTCCACCTGAAAGCCTGCACCCTGTCACTAGATTGTCATGAGAGCGAGGCTGCAAGCTTGATCAGTGGGACGTTCTCCACCTGAAAGCCTGCACCCTGTCACTAGATTGTCATGAGAGCGAGGCTGCAAGCTTGATCAGTGGGACGTTCTCCACCTGAAAGCCTGCACCCTGTCACTAGATTGTCATGAGAGCGAGGCTGCAAGCTTGATCAGTGGGACGTTCTCCACCTGAAAGCCTGCACCCTGTCACTAGGATTGTCATGAGAGCGAGGCTGCAAGCTTGATCAGTGGGACGTTCTCCACCTGAAAGCCTGCACCCTGTCACTAGATTGTCATGAGAGCGAGGCTGCAAGCTTGATCAGTGGGACGTTCTCCACCTGAGAGGCTGCGCCCTTCTAGTATGCTGTCTAGAAGCTGTGGAGGTCTGTTAAACTATTAATCGCAGCTTCCTGTGACCGTCAGCAACCAGATGCTCGGTTTTCAAAAACACGAGCAGCACAGATCTTAAACATCTGTATGCAAGGCAATTAACCAAGCGTGACTTTCATCGTGCAGCAGTAGCAAGAACATTCCTCGTTTGATAAGCACATGTCACAAATTTCGCTAGTGGTGAAAAGCTGGCACAACACATGTCGAACTTTGTCCAGATCTCACTGATCTGGTGTCGCACCGCTAGGCGACCTCGCCGTTTGACAGGGGAGAGACTGGTAAATCGTGTGATCAGAAGTGTTAGTCAGTGCGTGAGAACGGCCGCTTGCACTCGCGTGCCAGCATTGGATGCACCCACCTTACGGCGTTTTTAGCAAGCGATATCAATGTCGCCAAGGTACATTTTTAACGAGTGATGCCAGATGCCGGAAACCGGAGCGCGTACCTGTGATACCTGATGAAGTGCACGGTGAATGCGGATGGACCGTCCACAAGGTGCCGGGGAATACTGGGAGTGAGAGCCGGTAGCTCACCCCTCCTTCGCCGTGGCGTCGGCCCTCTGGTACCGGCAGGGCTGATGTGTCCAGGCACCCAACTGAACACAAAAGGTCGGAAACATGTCTCTGGTCAGCGCCGGGGCACATCGGCCCTGCCGGGAGAGTGGCGGCGCTGAGCGAAAAGAGAAACAGCCGACCTCCACCACCGCTCTTTCCGAGGGCCGTTTTCTGACGCGAGACGTCCCTGCCAGCTCTTAAGAACGGAGTAGCAGACGACACCGGATACACGAGTGCTGGCGACCAGTGAAATGCGCAGAACAAGCTGAAGCTACGAAGACAGGCATAGGTGAATGGTGACCTTCGCGCCCGGGCAGCAGAAGATGGAAGGTCGTTTTCCACTGCGTCCAAAGGTCACGTAAACGGGACGCATGGTTTTCTCCTCTCCGGAGGTCGAGCACCGCCGTGCCTCGTGGTCACGCGCTGTTCGTTGGCTATGTTCCCGTGTAGTGCCCGTACTCTGGAGTGTAGGGCTTTCGTCACTTTGGTCGTTTTATGCTGCGCAGATTATCTCTGGGTTCTCTCAACTTCGAGGACCCCATTATTGACGTGAATATTGTTCTTGCATTTTGTGACACTGACTTCAAGGTCATGTTCTCAACAGCGGTGCCACTTTCATAAAGTTCTTATCCAAGGCCCAGTCCAGAGTTCAAGGGTGGACCAGCTGTTCGTCCAAAAAGTATTCAATAATCATGCTGTCCATAAATTAATGGACATAAAAAATAAACCTTTGTGTTTTGAGTATCAACGAGCTACCACATGCAATGCAACCAATACCGGCAGTCGCTACTAGCGTATCTGCATTCCCTCACCCGAATCAAATGAACTAAAAGAAAATTGTCGTGGTAGGCAGCGCGTGCCACAGGCTTCCTGAAGGCACTTTTAGTGTGCATTTCAGGTAAACATGGCACAATAAGCTCAATATGACAAAGGCGGCGGCCGTAAAGCAAGAGACTGATGTACAGTACTGTGAGTGTTGGGGGTACCGGTGCCCAGTCCCATAGCCTACAGAGTATGTGTCAGCGTGAGCGATGAGCCTGTATCTCATGTTCCAAAAGTAATCATTTCTGGTGAGCTCTACCAACAACTTGTTTGTGTTCGAGAGTCAAATTATTCTTAACATGAGTAGTATTAAATAAAGTTAGACGCGTACCTATTTGCAACACGACGAAATGTTATCGGTTTTCCGACACAAATCCAAAAAAAATTCCCCTCTCCGTCCAATTTCAGAATCAAACTTAAGAAAGTGTTGGAATTCCAAAAGTTTGGAATCGAATCGGCACCTCTAATTCTCACCTCTACGGCGCACTCCGACGCCAAGTCACCCTAGTTGAAAATATTTCGTAAGTTGTTCAGTGCATTAGCGAGGAACATACTCACGTAGATAAGACAGTAGTGATAGCCTTGTTCCTGGGGGAAAACCAAGACAATGGAGATATAGATGGGTTAATATTTTGGCAATATGCCTTTACCGAAACAGTAACAGGAATTAGTAATTGATAAGCAGTAGGGCCAAGGCGCAGCTAGAGCCTTGGCAAGGGAAGGGCACAGGGTTGACAAAAAAAACCGGACAGTAAAAGGCACCCCAAAAAATCTCTCGACATTATCACCATTTGTTATTCTTTTATCTGATCAATAGCATATATTGATCAATCAACATTTGATCATTTGATCAATTTAGTGGTTCAGCGTAAGCGATGAGAGCCCGTATCTCATGTTCGAAAAGTAATAGTTTCTGGTAAGCTCTATTGACTTGTTAATGTAACCACATTGGCTCATTCAGAAGTAAATAACAATTTACTTCTACTATTGTTTCGATAAAAATGTGTCGCGGAAAAATCATCCGATCTATATCTCCATTCTCCGGGTTTTTATCCGAGGAATAAGGCTATTACCATTGTTATATCTTTTTGAAAATATCCTGGCGTACAGGGCATACGTGACCAGCGCAATACAAAACGCGATTGGTCAGATGATCAACTATTGACTGATCAATATGATATGCTGTTGCTCAGATTGACTAGTAACAAATGTCGATAATTTAGGTCGATTTTTTAGGTGCATTTTACCATCAGAGGGCCCTTTGTTAACCCTGTGTCCCCTCCCTTGACAAGGGTCTAGCTGCGCCCTCGGTAATGATACTTATTGGTGTGTAAAGCAAGTAGGACGTCCGCTACAGTCTTGTTTCCGAGTTCTCTTCCCTTAAACCACACATCAGCGGAATACAAACTTTCAAGAAACTGCTCGCGTCAGGCATAAACTGGTTTACCGGGCCTTCATCTGTCCCTCCTTCAATGTAACCGCCTTGATCCACTTTTGTATGTAGCACGAAGGTGCTTACTTTTCTTAAACAAGGCACCTACCGCTGTTTGTCGCAGATGTTTGCCGTAATCCGGTATTTCAGGAAAGACAGTTGGCGGTTCATCCATCATAAATGCCGCCTTTTCATGCGGCTAAAAACACAACATTATCTTACTTAAAACTGAAATTTATTTTGAAGCTTATCATTATTCGTCATAAGTTCCCCGGACGGTTGTACCCAAAATTTGCTGTTGAACTGGGCGAGTGTGGCCTCAAACAGGTATCTCTTCTGATTGTTTGGGCTAAACTAAAAAAGAAAAGACTAAGATATATTTTATAAAAAACTGACATTGATGATGTGGCTCACACAAACAGCACCCGGAAAGGCGACAACCTTTCTCTTACAAAAAGTTGCTAGTGTAGGACTAACAAGCTTCGCCATTTGTATCAGTCTACTTGTTGACGCAGGACAC